ACCCCTCCATTGGAGGGAGTGTGGGCTCGGCCCTGCTGAGCCGACCCGCCCGCCGGCCCATCGGACCTTCAGCAGCGTATATCATCCTGGCCGAACTTGTAAAATTGAGTGATTCAGAGAGAGCAGGGAAAGGTAATTGAGCGGATAGTTTGAGGAGCAAAAGGTGCATTTCGGTACTGATGAGTGACTAGCAACTATGTCGAAGGAGGAAATGGATCGCGGACTTTACTGCCTTCTATTCTACTTGAAGACTCTTTTCACCTTTTTGTTAAACAATAAGCCGCAGAACCAGCTTAGAACTCCCAAACTTCGACACTCCTAATCCTTCAGAAATTTGCAGTTCGGAGGCAAATGCCTTTTATCTTCTAATCTCGGCACAGAACAGAAAATTAAAGGTCCCCTCCCTTTCAGATCCAAGAAACGTTCAAGCACCCGCTTCAACATCCTGCGTACAGCTTTTGACAGCCTTTAGCCGTCTGAACGACGGTACTGATCCGACGACCACCCTGTTGCCAAAATTTTGCCGATGATCAACTATGCCTTGAGGAGTGTGTTCACTGGGAACACTGTCCGAACACTCTTACAATTAGTCGATGGAAGCCAATCCTTGTCACTTTGAGAGATACTCCTAGAAAACTAATCGAAGGGTCCTGACCATCCAGAGCGATACATATGTATTTTTCAGTATGTGAATGGAAGTGAACTATGTCGTTCCTCATGAACATGGCTTTTTCAGGCATGCGGTCAGTCATTATGAGCCCCAAATGAAGTTGAAAAGTTACTGTCGTACGGAAGTGGTGTTCGGTATTGAAAGTACGATTTGTTATTGCCGTGACGACGATTTCTGTAATTCCTCACCACTACCGCCTTATCTTACCACCTCCCTTTTGTGCACTCCAATCCTATTCCTTTTGCTCCTCTTCTTTCCAGCCTTATGACGGCTTGTATGCTGTGATTCACCCATATTGAGAGCGGGTATCTCCCCTATCGCGATATGGAGATGCGGGTACGATAAAACGTATGCAAATACCGTAATACTACTCGTAGTAGCTTGCGTATTGTTTTATGCCATACGAAAAATGGTTTTCATTGAGATTTTCCAAAAAAGGGATAAAAACAAAGGTGAATCGTACTATACATGGTCTATCGAATGTTTTTGTTGGTTCACTTGTGCACCAATTTTTGTTGTCTTTCATTTTCATCTGATTACATTTAGACATATTTGTGAAAATTTATTGATTTGTATTCATCCCGCATCGACATATCAGACATGTATTATGGCTAAGTACTGTATTTTTCTCAAAAATACTGTTTAAATACCATATATTATACAAATAATTACTATATGTTACGTTACGTAGTACAGTTATTCCTATTGTCACTGTTACAGAGATCGATTACAGTAACTGTTCAGTAAATGTCTATTGATTTGTTAAATTATTGCATTCATTTTTGGCTTTTACAATGATGATGGAAGACAAATGGAAGACAATGAATGCTGAATGAAGCGGCTGTAGATTGTTCTCGAACGTTCAATAATACCCACAATTCACGCATGTCAGAACAGGTTGAATGCGCAGACCGCCCCCAATGGGCGTGGCCTAGCGCACGTTTCTCGGCTTCCTATTGGTCCATTTCTTCCGTTCTACTTTTTCAACTACGAATGGATTCAAATGACAACCTACAGCAGCTTTACGTCAAGCACAACCGTTTTTGACACATATGCACTGTATCACAAGCACCTAATGAATAATGCATAAATATTTTCTCTTTCTAAAAAAATTAGCATAATACACTGGTGATTATGGCAACGCTAGTTTGGCTGATGTAGATCCGAAATGAAGAAATGCATTAGTTAACACCATGGTATTTTGGCAACGATTATTAACCGAATGTAAAGTATGTGACAACACATTAACACTAATAACTACAGTACTATTTATACATAGCCGCGCAGACGAATGGCGTCAATTTGTTGACTAGTTGACGCCAATTCGGTGCCACATACATACGGGCATACCGTGCTTCTTGAGCATTTGTATCCAATGCGCATGACCCGTGATATCACCCATTCGACCGATTACACAATGACCAACAGATAATGGTTGCCCGTTCGAATCATGATCAAACATCTGAAACCAAATCAGTGAAAAAAATAGATGAGGAAGGCTGAGATTACTGTTGCTACGGCACTATTTTATTACTTTATCTGATTTGTTAAACATGTGGCTACCGTTAGTGGACCAGGAGGCACCATACAGGTCGCTGCTCTGAAACTTTTTCAGAACAGATTGAAACCTCAAGTTGGACTTTTACTACCGTGCCTACAATATACCGGCTTTTTCGTCGTAATCGGAGTATTCACCACGAGAATTCTTCCCTTTCAGTAATAGTACCAGATCCGGAGTTACGGTCAATACGGTTATTACCGCTCCTGGCATTTTGAGTTTGATGCGACAAGAACGACGGCCCCTCCTGACTCTCTCACACCCCGTTATGTGGGACTACATTACAGTTGCAGACAGGCCACATTGAATGTTATAGTTGGGAAGGCACCTCTATCTTTGAGTTGGTTTGACCTTCTGTAGGGACATTCTGAGGGAAAACAGAGCTTTTCGCTTGTTCGAGTACAAGTTGCTAAAAGTTAGAATCGAGCTATGTTGCTGGGACCGCAGTTCGGGTTCTGAGACCCGTGGGTGTGCTTTTTTCATATCCAACTCCTACGAAATAATATGAACAAACTGGAATGCAGACAAACCTCGATCACGATATGACATCGATCAAGTTTCGCTGGTGTCACGTGAAAGAGGAATGATTCAGAAAATGAAGCGTCACCGGATGAAGAGCTAAGTGATGAGGATACGGACGAAGATGAAGGTTTTGATGAGGTGCTGAAAGATGGAATTCATTTATAATTGTACAGTCAACTATTTTGGGGCCTCTAATGAATGGTATGTATGCGGTGCGTACAAATTCCAATAAGTAAAATCTCCCAAAATGCTACAACTTCACTGTGGGGTAGATACACTACTCATTGTAAAGGGAGGGAAGTTGAAAAGGACTCAGGCGATCGTTCTGTTGGCGATTTGACCCAGCTTTTTTCATAACAGGCCTCCTTTTTCCCACCATGCGAGATTGGATCTCTTTGGGTAACGGAACTTCTCCTCTATCACGGCATTCTCCCTTGCGGCATGCTGCAAATGCCACTGCAATTACCGTACTCACCCCGCCTCCCGCCAATCGATAGGACGCGATATTTTTTCTTGACTGGCTTGCTTTTTCATTGGATTTTATCGTTTTTTCTTCTGTTTCTGTTT